CCTGGACACGCACGGCTGGCTTCGATTGACCTTGAGCGTGTGCGTGCGGTTTTCATGACAGCGCAGGCGTGGGAGGACAGTTTCAATAAAAGTGGTTCGCCATGAGCCCGGCTGTGTCTAAAGCGAAGAAAGTGTGAGGCGTGAGAGTTCCATCGAGAAAAGACAATAGCTGGGCTCATCCATGTCGGACCGCGTGGGAGTGGTAGGGCGCCCGGAACCATGGAGCCATTGAAGTTACTTCACATGGCACGCACATGGCGATGATGAATGTTTCGAGTGAAGTGGGACAAGTGAACATGCATCTCATGTTTAGGCTGGTACTCCAGGTATTTCGTACTATCGCAGTGCGTATTCGAATTGAGTGGGGCGCTTGTAACGATAATCGCGCCCTCAGCTGTGCAGTGTTGTTGCCAATTGTGTCAGCTGCTTGTTTGCGCCTCAGCTTGACTGGAAACGGGGCCGCCCGATGTTTCTTTCTATGGACGCCCGGACCCCAAGGTTGCAGATGGAGTGTTTGATATGCTTCGACACACCACGAGTGTGTGTCTAGCGAGCTCCCTCTTACCTCTCTCTGACCTACGTCCGAGCTTTGTGTGCTCTGTGTCTAACCAGGTGTGTACTACAGCGATCAGGGGGGGGGGGGGGGCTCCGTGTCTGACCTGACGCCGTTCTGGAGCAGCTGCAGCTGTCGGCGCGTCTTCCTGTGGGCGCACCGCTCCAGGTTGCAGCAGCACGGCCGGCTCCAGCTCCACGAGTGACCTGAGCCGGGTCGGGTCGGCTCGTCTGTCAGCACCGTCCGCATCGCCTCCAGACTATCGGGCTCGTGGCCGGCGTGCCCGAGTCCGTGCTGTTCGTCCCCTGTGGGGGCAGACGCGCGGTCAGATCCACACCAACCAGTCGTGCTGCGCGTCCCCTGTGGGGTCCGTCGCGCGGGTCGGATCCACACCCACACAGTCGTGCTATGCGTCCACTGTGGGGTCAGAACGCGCGGGTCAGATCCACACCACACAGTTGTGTTGCGCGTCCCCTGTGGGTCAGACGTGCGGGTCAGATCCACACCACACAGTCGTGCTGCGCGTCCCCTGTGGGGTCAGACGTGCGGGTCAGATCCACACCACCCAGTTGTGTTGCGCGTCCCCTGTGGGGTCAGACGCGCGGGTCAGATCCACACCACACAGTCGTGCTGCGCATCCCCTGTGGGGTCACACGCGCGGGTCATATACAGATGTATTGTGCACGCATACCGTATGTTAGGTGCAGTTGCCTGTAGAAGAATGTACACCATCAACTCTTTCCTGAGTGGCATAGCCGCCTCATGAACTATCTCTCCGTGGATATCGTACGTCGGTGCCAGCAAGGACGGTACAGGATAGCTTTCAGATATAGCCCGTTGTTCATACAGGCAGGCGCCAAATACTCCACTATGTGGACAAAAGCACGCCAGGACTACAGTGCAGTTTGAACGCCTCTATATGCTCTCGCCCCCGCAGCGCAGTAGGTGGTTATTACACACACGCACACACACACACGCACACACACAAGTCATCCAGCTGATTAGTTTGTTTATTTGGAGTGTAAGCATTCGAGAGCCAAAGACCCCATCGCAAAGTCCAGTTTTCAGGAACAATAAATAGATGATACGCACACTATAATAAATAGATGACACGCACACTATATATATATATATATATATATATAATATATATATATATATATATATATATGTATATATAAGGGATGCCTGACGCGTGATGTGCGATGCCTGTTCAATTAAACCTCATTGTTCATACATGTACGGTAGCGGATGCCTACACATGTGTAATGGATTAGTCCAGACGGATACCTCAACACGTGTCCTGGTGAGTCAGAGGGCTGCTCCTGGTCCGCCCACGGGCAGGGTCGTGACTCACGAGCGCGCCCGGATCGAATGGCACGAGCACGCGCCGGCCACGCCCCGCGCTCATGGGAATGTTGGCTTCGACGGAATGCCCGCGGCAAGGTGAACCATCCAATTAGCGTCTCTTCCGTGGGAGTTTGATAGTAATGTCCTTTCAGGTATTTCAGATGTTTGCAAGGTAGCGTATGATTGGTGGGACATGTCTCACTCCGAACATATGTAGAAACTGAGGCACATGCGGAAGTGGATAAAATATCACATTTTGGTGATCATGAGACTAACAATCAATTGTCATTTCCCGTTGTCTGGTGACATTTTATGATCTGTTTGGCGTGCGATAATGCGGCTTTATGTTGAGCACATCCAAAAGTCATTCCAGCTGATTATGTTTGTTTGTTTATTTGGAGTGTAAGCATTCGAGAGCCAAAGACCCCATCGCAAAAAAAGTCCAGTTTCAGGAACAATAAATAGATGATACACACTTAACCCAGAAACCTCATCACCCATCCACATACACATTGTACACAGCCACATACACAGCTTACACAGTGAGATGCAACGGTCATCTGAAGAAGGCGCAACGGGCACCGGAGAGCATTAACAAATCAGACCGGCATGATTTTGTTGGCTGAAAAAGTCGGTTGAGAGAGAATGCTGTTTCGTGAGTAGTACAAAAGCTCAACACAAAGCTTGGAGATCAAGAAACCACAGCGGCAATCGGGCGTTTCGAAACGAATCGTGACCGCGTTTGTCGTCTTATCGAATTGATCCAGTTTCGGCGGCGACTGTGATACACGCTCCAGCAGCGTCAGACCTGAGGCCGCTATTTCTGCGTCCCATATGCCGGCTCCAGCTGTCTGACTGCGCCACAGCGCCGGCTCCCACGCCGCCGCAACCAATCCACCTGTCATCGCCAGCCGGCGAGCAAACCTAGATCGCCAATCACGGACCGGAGCGCTCGGCGCATGCGCGGCTGTCCACCGAGCCGGGTCAGAACTGAACATCGTGATGCGGGGATGTGGAGCAAATGTTGTGTGTTAGGAGCATTTCCTACCAATGGGCTCCGAAGGTAAAAATACATTTGATCTGGTCACATCGGCATTGCGCCATTCGACATCTCGTTTGGGATGACGTTTAAGATCTTAATTTGACAAGCAAAATATGGTGATGGCACACCGGGCTGAGGACGTTCGTATGAGAGGATTGCATGGCTCGCGGGTCATCGTATGGAATGCGCAGCGTGTAGGGTTGGGTAAATATTTTGAGAAAAACAAATTCCGGGTATAGGTACGGGTGTGGATAAGACGCTTACGTAAATTCGGGTAGATATTCTCCGAAATTTTACAGCGTTTTTGCTTGTGCTCCCTTTCCCATAGCCATATTATTCACGTTGCTTTTTCAATGATGAAAGAAAAAGAGCAAGTTCGGTTGTAAACTTTCCTGAAGGTCTTCCATTCCTCAAAACTTAATTGAGAACTGCAAACGGGCGGGTAAAGGATGAACATAACTGATCGCGAATGGGCAGCGGGTGGGTATTGGCACGGCCTCACGCACGGATGACTCAGGTGGCGGAAATATTTCCCGTGATGGCCTCTAGTTTGGAGAGGAGCTGCAAAATAACATGGCAATATTTCCAGTCAGACACTGTTCAAATAACGAGGTGAGCACGACGGCAGCCACGGCCGGGAAATGTTTGCTCAACAGGTGGCCGGTGGCGACGGCAGATCCCTACTTCTCCCGACGGCCAAAACATGCACTTCTGCCGCTGGATTTTTTTTTTTGGTAGACAGGTGGATTCAGGTCTCAATTTGTGTTCATCCGCTATGTTTGGCTCAGATTTTGTTTCGAAGAGCAATAAATACATGAATCGAGTTGAAACAATCCGCCCAGAATTGTCACTTCGTATGTTTCCTTACGATGCGAAACGCTCGTGAAGCCTGACCAGAAACCGGACATGACCCATGGCAGAGCGAGGGTCCCGAACGGGGTCACGAGTCCGGGCAACACTTGTGCGCGCCCCACTACCGCACTTAAGCCGGCGCCAACTGCAGGACAGACAGGTGGCAGTGCACCGGGTCGTTCACCGCAGTCGCCGCGAGGGAAGGAGCCGCGGCGCGCGCCATTGTTTGGGACCCCAAACCAGGCGTGGGTGAACTGGACCGAACACATGTGGGGAAGGGAGCGGCACGAGTTCTGTTTGTCTGCGCCTTGAAACATCCCTTCAGGCCTGCGGGCCTGGTAAACTGCATGTTAGTATCGATAGGTCAGTCACTCGGCCTGCGATGATTGGCAACCCATTATTGTCCCTTGTGCGCCTCCGCTAAAAAACGAAATCCTATCGCCTTTCTTTGTGGAACAACACCCCTTCAGAGATTGGGCGGAAAATGGATTAGCACAAGAGCTCGACAACAAGCGCAAACGGATGGACAGGCAAGAAACCAACGAGTCGGCGGATGAGAAAGTTCCGGGTAAGCCCGGTAAGGTTTAACATCTCGGAAAGGCCATGACGACCCATTTTTAATTATTCATTTTCCAGTGTTTAATGTCTATGTTAAAATCCGATTGTAGAAGTCAGAAGCGCACAGATGCCACGGGAGCTAAGAAGAGTACCTTACCCGGCCGAAGGGGCGTGAAGAAGCCAGCCGACACCGAGCGACACACGACGTGCATCGACTCCTCAGCTATCGATACACGTCTCTCACGCTGCCCGTCGACACAACGCATTATTCCCTTGGTACCACCATCGCCACCATAGTGAGTAGCACCACCGTCACATGCGTCACCACCGTCCGCGGGGGCGACGGCCGGACGTGTGGTGCGGGCGGAGGCCGGCGGCCCGGCCGACTGCGGCCCGGCACCACTGCCCGGCAGCTAACAGTACTCACGGAGCCGGAGCCGGAGACGGACGGACGGACGGCGGCGGACGGCACAACCCGCACTCAGCCCGACCTCAGCGTGCCGCCGCCGTCCGACACCAACTGGAGCGCCGCGCCGTCGCCAGACACGCGTAATGGGAGCACGTGCACGGCTTTCACTACGATGCCACGCACATCTGTGGCGCCGGTTTTGGGGTGCACGCTATTTTGGTGGACGACGCACTGGACGAAATGACCTAAATATGGCGCGTGTTCAGGATGCGTGGTGACCCACAACCCCCACACGGACCGTGGACAGCGCGCCTGAAAAGCGGATACGGGCAAGGGCGCGGCGCCAAAACTTGTGCGCATACAATATGAATTTCATGGCGCCAGCAGTCCGTAAGCGGCATTCGTTCCAAATTTGTCAGGGCAAATCATCCTCTATTTATCACATGAAGACATCTAGATATCTGCCTTGGTAAGGGGGCTTGGAATCCATGCATTGGGCAACGGCGCGGATCTCAAGGAATGGCATGGAGTGCCCGTGTTCGGTGAGCGATGACTTGCGATCTGTCATCCTCGGATCAAGACATTGTCTGAATATGCTTTGAATGGTCATTCGATCGTAGCACGAACGGAGCGGAATATTCATCCGACTCTAACCTTGCTCTGAGCCGGTGTCGAGGTCTGTCCCAGAACGCAGCGACTCTGAGGTGGAATTAATTCCAGCGGAGCGATAATGTAGCGCAAAGCAGCGTGCCTGCTAGTTGAGAAGTTCAATTGTTCACTAATTTCTGACGCGCTGAACCTTATTCTAAACAGCATCATCACTGTGTGGAATACCTCACATTTATGGATAGATGAAACATTCCATAAAGCTGAAAAAACGTTCCATCATGGCTTTTGGAACGATTAGGCCTTCTTAGATAGCTGACATTAAGTACGACCTTCTTGGCAGGGCCGAGCACTTTGTTTCGCATTCCCTGCTTCCATTCTGGCACGGCACCATCCCAACGTTCTAAGCACCTGCCCTGATTCATTGTTTTGGCCTTGTGCTCTAGCTGAAATCGACGAAGCCAGATAACAAAGATGTTCTCAGACTGGTGATGCCACTTCTAGGAGATACGGAACTATTTCGCGCGCAGGGATCAGCATTCGCTCTGGTAAGCAGCAGCTTACCAGGCGATGCCATTTCCAGGAGACACGGGGCTATTTCGCGCGCAGGGATCAGTGTTCGCCCTGGTAAGCAGCAGGCCGAGAGCGGTGTCACTTCCACACCGTTGGGCGCCATGACCGGGACTGGAGCAGTCACGATAAGTAGAGGGCAAACCGTTCGGCAGCTTCCTGAGCTCACGGGAGCATACCACCGCTCCAGTGTCATGATGCAAGCATAGCAAAGTGCAAGGTCATTCTGAATTATTACCTATTCGTATGTAGCTACCTGACGTTTATGCCTGCCTAGTTCGATGTTTCAACACCACATAGCGGAAGTGGGCATCGCCTGCTTCCTCCACAATTGGGTCAACAATGGGCGGGGATTCCTATCCGCGTTAAGCTGTCGCGCCTGACCGCACATCATTCCATGCGGGGGCCCCGCACCCAACCCCAGGCTCCACTGGAACATGCCCTAAACTGAGTACCATCGCGTGGATGGCCTATGGTGCCGGTATCAGAATCACGCCGAGGACGGAAAACCTGAAAGCTCCATATGAGCGTCTATATAACTCCAAGTGATTCCACATGCCGATACCATCAGGACCCACCAACGCTGACGAGCGGCGTAGCGATGTCGATCGATAATGATCGATTCCTGTATAGGCATTCTTCGGTATATATGACTTTCCGCTCGCCATTAATTACAGTCCGGATGACAGCAGAATACCACCGCAGCATGTGGACGTGGAGGAAGAGGAGAGATGAAAGAACTAACAGGATTGGGAGGAGCGCACGCTTCATCGGTTGGTCACGCCCGCGTCAGCTGGCTCACCGTTCAGATCGTGTGGCAGCGACTTCTGCACGGCCTCCAGCACCTGGATCTGTCCCTCCAGTGACGTCAGCACCGAGTCCAAGTGGGAGACCTGGGAGTACAGTGACTCCAGCAGTTCCGGTCTGGAGAGAGAGACAACACAGTGATATCAGCATATCAACGTTGAGCCAAGTGAAAGACCTGAGAGTGCAGGGACTCCAGTAGTTCCGGTCTGGAGAGACAACACAGTGATATCAGCATATCAACGTTGAGCCAAGTGAGAGACCTGAGAGTGCAGGGACTCCAGTAGTTCCGGTCTGGAGAGACAACACAGTGATAACAGCATATAAACGCTGAACCAAGTAATTATGAGCATGCTGGGGGATGATCAGCAACGGTAGACAGCTCCAGATTTATAACCGCTTTTATGCGAGCAATTTTTACAGTCTTGAATGTTAGGAACCAGAATGGGATATTTTCAAGTAAAACAATACGACAGCATGACAGCGTGCAAACATATCGGAAATAAATGCAAAGGTCAACGTGCCATAAATTGGACAGTTTGCTGGGAGTGATTACCTCGCTGGCTCAGGTAGGTTCTCCGAGCATTGGCATGGCTAAGAAATGAAGTAGCTTCAGATATTGCGACTTCAAACTCAGTTGTATTCATAAAAGCATAGTGAACACTGGCGGCATGCAATGGATACGTCAAATGAGCATTTCCAATTACAGACCTCCACCGTCTTGCGTTTAAGGGTGAGGAGTAAAGGGAGCTCGGGGTTTGAGACACGGATGCTGAGGAAATTAAATATCGGTCAGAGTGCAATGAATTGGAAAAGGATAGCCAAAATACGATCAAGATACCACCCCAAATGCTGCACTAGTTGTCTTATCAGTGGAGGTCTGATCAACTTCCGCTAAGTGCGAAGATAAGCGAGCCTTACGTTTCCAGCAGCGTGTCCATCAACACCGCCCATCCTCCGGTAGACGGACCGGCTTCGGAGCGAAGTCCTCCAACTAGTGCAAGGACTCTTCGTCAGGCCATGCACAACCGTCCCCAGATGTCAACTTTCATCTGCAACCGCTCGCACCACGGAACTCAACTCGAGACAGTCACTCCGCAGCACGACACCACTGCTTGTCACCTCAGCTCAGCCACTCGTCGCTCTCCGCACCGCTCGCGGCGCGCACCTGCTCAGCGTGGGCCCAGCTGCGCCGGCACTGCCATCTACCGGTGGCCGTGGCGACTGAGCGCGCGCACTGCTATAGCGGGCACCTCGCCTGAGGAGAGGCTCCGGCGGCGGACTGAATCAGACTGCCGGCGCGCCCGGCGGCTGCGGGGCTCCGACTTTCGCCCCGGGTTCGGGTCTGGTGGGCTCGGTGACGCAGCTGGCGGGACGGCGGACAGCTCCTGCCCAAAATCGGCCAGGTAATGGGCCCGGTCACGTGCTGAAATGCCTGGTCATTTGAGCCGGCCGTTGTTCGGGAGGATTCCGATGACCGGTGCGTGCAGGCCGTTCACGCTAGCCTTCGTGCTCGCGAGAACCAGGCCGACTCTCTCAATAATAGCACTCATTTGGGAAACAAGGGCTCTTAACGGAACATGGAAAGTTAACAGCCCTATGGCCTTTCCCCGATGATCACAGTTTCTGTTTGTCCGTTGGTGAAGTTGGAAATGTAGAAATAACAACAACCAATAAGCGAATAACCGACAATTAATTGGACTTAACTGTGCTGAGTGTAAAGTGTGAATACACATAAGATTTAACGTCTTAAGCCAATGCATCTGCATGTAACATTACGAAGTCCTACGAGCATTACGAAACCCACGTGGAGCCCGATCAAATATGCAACATATATGACCAGTGAAGATTCATGCTCGAGGAGATTGGTTTGGTGATACGAGGGGGGACGCAGACATGGTGTTGATTATTTTCTCTTCTTACGACGCCACAGGATTAATGTTTTTTCTCTTCAGGGTTGGGGAGATCGCTGACCTTTTGCCCCCCCCCCCCTCTCCGCCCTGACTTCTCGCTCCCGCCATCCCTGCCAAAGGAGTCTGCTCGTAGTATACTTCCTGCTTCTTTTCGCAGTTATTTTCATTTATTTCTGCTCTACCTCTTATCGCTCAACGTCACACCGGTAGTTCCAGGTAATTATCTCCCGTTGGCAGGATTAGCTACACGTGATGCCCCCGCCGTGCACCGTTCATACGCCGGAGTTTCTTTGTAGTTCATCGCAATCCGCCATATGCTGTGTATGTGATCAAGAGTGTGCGGAAACTGTGAAAAACCAGCGTGTTCAAGGAGCCCTAACGGGCTCTCCCGAACACGCAGCAGTAGTTTTCTTGCTTGACTAATATTGATACTTCCAGGCGGCTCGCTCTCCTCAGCAGCACAAGCTGTTAGTAATTTTCAGTCGATGGTGAAGATCTTGCAGGGATCGGCAGCGACCGTATTATTCGCCCTACAAACTGATAACTCCCCGCCAGCTACATACCGGGCGTCGCACTGCCTATGCTGAAAGGTTCAAAGGCGAGGGACATTTTTGGGCAATGGCGATGTTGGAGCCCACTTCACGGTCGAATGGTGTCATGACATAAAACTAAGGCAGCCAGAGCTGCATTTAGGCGCGGCTAGGCTTGGCTCCGACATTAAATTAAGAGTATCCCTTTGCCTGGCCTGGGTCGCGGGTCCCAATACTGTTAGATTTTAACTTCGGTCGGTGTATGGCGATGCATCAAAAGAATTCCATCAACGAGAAAAAAATTGGAAACCGTCTTTAATCTAGCATCGACATGGAACCTTGGGAACTTAAGATCGGGGCTATCGTGCTTGCCACTGGGTAGCTACCCGCCTAGAAAGCCTGAGATAAAAGTTCCGTTTTGTCTCATTGCCTTGGTATGGTATTCCCATGCCACCGGAAACGTATGGACATGAGTCCTTACTTCCTTGAATCTGGCAGCGTGTGCATTCGGGACTGGTGTTTGGTAATGTTGCGTTGTATTCCGGTATCCCGCCCGAACCACATGCTGACATTCCATCAGTTGACTTTGTACTGCATGTGAAACAGCCCAATAACCTACCACTGAAATTTAAAGCAAACTTAATGAACTTCTAACTTGCGCATGCCCTATGTTTGCGTTTAGAATTCAATTCAGATCAATCCAAAATCAGGTAAAGAAGGTGTCGTTATCTGAAATATATCCTCAGCACAAGACGTATTTCTTGCCACGGAGCTATTGCGGGGCATTTTTATATCGGCTCATTTACCTTCACCCACTTTTGTTTCCCTGCTTCCTATGCTCCGCAAACAGCAGCCTCGAATTAAGTGTGAAGTGACTGCTTCTTCCGAAGTTAAACCATTAAAGGCTTAATGCATGCTCAAAAATATTTTTGAACTAGATATGAAGGATGTAACCGCATTGAGCTTTAAGAGCCGTTTATGAGTCATTTTTATTGTTTTTGATTTTTTGCGATTAGTATTCTCTTTATGCATCGCAAATCTCGCAGCGTTTTGGTCGCGATCTTGGCATGGTGGGAGGCGAGTACAGCGGAACTTTCATCCCCTAGCGTTACGTCCGATAACTAGACATAAATATGACAGAATTTTCGGGATTTTATGTGCTTGAAAGCATGTTTGGTGACGATAATTTGTCAGCAGTCCCCGTACAAATTCGATTTTAAATGATTTGTCGTGGTTCCAATCTTTTTCAAGGTTTTGGGCTTGCCAAAAATGTCATCTTCTTGTTTGTTTGTTAGAATAAGCCAAAGATTTCGATTTAAAGGAAGATTTTTCACAACAACAAAAATCACAAACACCTGCAGCATTGACCCTCATCCACTTTGTTCTCAGCCGTAACGTATAAAAACACTGTCATAATGGAAGGATCACCGGTAATACTTGCATACACAAGGCCCACGGTGAGGCCAAAACCTTGCGGAATGATCATTGCGTGACACAAAGTTCTGAAATAAACGATGATATCACATCACTCAAGACAGTGTACCGGAACGTTCTAGGTACCTTGTTAGAGCCGATTACTCAGCAGACACGGCCGCTTCAAGCCTTCAACTCCACCAATGCCCACTTCGTGTTATGCGAGCGGCATCTACACTGACTTGCCTACGTCCATACGGTATAGATGGCAGCACTATGAAGGCTATTCCTGCTTTCCCGTGCGTGCATCTGTATCTGCGAGCGTGGAGAACCTCCATTTGCAGCCTTTGTATAAATTCTGGCATGTTTGGGACATTTGCATCGTTAGATAGCCCTAAAATCTAGTCAATGTTGCTCAGCATACCGCCCGCGGGAGGATAACGGCAGGGACGTGCGTGCCAGCCATCCCGGCAGTCACAAGGGGGTTGCGAATAAAAGCACGTATTGAAAAAAGTCCGCATGACACTTGTTCGTAGGTAAAAGCTTGTGTGGCTTACGTTCGTCAAGATACAATACGAGCATGAATTTCGTATCGTCAAAAGTTTGCACTGTAAAAAGTTTGCCCAGGATGTTGTGTTAACAAAACACTTTCAGTATTTACCAAGCATTCATATGGTAAAATGTTCGTCGGGGAAAGGTTCGAAACGAATGTGTTTGAATACGCCGAAGCTTGAACGGAAAAGATGGCAGGAAGCTCTGCTCGTAAAGAAATATTTGTACAAAACCGTTCGTCATGAACAGGGCTTGTATGAAAAAGGACGGACGCAGGGGTTCGTATACCGATGTATTACGCAGGTACGCAAAGTTCGTGCGCAAAGGTTTGCCAGGCAAAGGGTTGGCTTGACAAAAGCACGCATGCAAAAGTTCGTGCGCAGATGTGTGATGAATGTTCGAATGCAGATCCCTATTTATGGTGCCGGCTTTGGAGGCATGGTTACTGCTTGGGCACCACGCTCCATCAGCCGTGGAGGGGGAGGAGCAAAGGAGGGTATGGAGGTGGATCAAGTCAAATATTATGGCTAGCTTAGCTCTTCATGATATTAAACTCAGTGCTTTCCTGGGACCAGCCAGTGAACCGAAATCAGAAGAAATCAGTGAAAACAATGCAGAGCAACCAGGAGATGGATGGGACTAGAGGTAAAAAATGAATTAAAAAACGTATGCCAACCACAAAACACTCGCCGCCATTTTGTTTAACGTTGTTTGCCTTTTAACGCCCACCCTGACGATGCCTCTGCCGACGCCCCGAACCGAAGCCTCCTGAGCGCGCCACTGACGCCAGCCGAGCGCACCACCGACGCCAGCTGGCGGCCGCCTCGCGAGTCAGCTGGCGTCAGTGGGATTCGGCGGACGGATGAGGAATGGACTCGGGGCATATGCTAGCTAATATTAAGTACCCCAGAGACGTAGAGAAATACGCACCCAGTATTGATGCACCCGCATTTATAAAGACTTTGTTTCATGGGCTCAAAATAGCCCGAGGCGATAAGTTCTGTACTGCAGGCCGCAAAGAGTTCAAAATTGCACAAACCAACTGTGACTCATGTAGATAAACCTGCCTGTGACTCACGTAGGTAGCCGAGTAGTCGATTCGTCCTGGAGCACGTTCATAGGAGTATCATCTATGCAAACTTACCAAGATTCGATCAATGCGTACCAACTTTTGCGTACGTACTTTTGTCAAAAGCACTCAGGCTGTTACAAATACATCTGTGCACACAATTGCTCATGAGCAGTTGCGTACGCACTTCATGGAATGCAAACGTTGTTCATACGAGCTTTCACCACAACGAACTTTTGCCGACACGAACATTCCATGGCTGTGCGTTATGCCATGCAAACATTTACTCCAAAGCATTTCTAAACTTTTTGGTACGTACATCTGGCATGTAAACTTTATAGTATGTAAATGTAAACTTTATGTAAACTTTATGTAAACTTCGTTTGATTGCAAACAATGACGTTTGTACGTTACATATGCGTACTTCTCCCATACGACATGAAGAAGCAACCTTTTGTACTCATGATACCAGGATTATTTTGGTTTGGGGCGCTTCTTCGCAAAGCGATTGTATTCTCAATTCGGATGCCAAATGATGAAAATTCCAGACATTCACTGCACATCAGTCTCTTTGCAAACTTCGCTAACCTTAGATGAAAAACCAAATGTTAAAGTGAACATTTTTGCGAGAGGACATCGAATGGAGACCCCAAAGGGTTGCCTTCGTGACTGACCTGTGCAGGGAATCGCTGTCGTCCATTTGTTTGATGTTCTCGCGAACAATCTTCTGTTCCAGTTGATACGCGGCTAGTTTTGTTTTCTCGACGGAAATCCGCCGCTGCAGCCGGTCCGGCAGCAGAACTTCCGGACCTTCCAGCAGGTGAAGCAGAAATCCGTACTTTTCCCGATCAGCCCAGTTGATCTAAGACATAGAAAAAGCATGCACAGTCACGAATGATAGTTCTGCGCGGTCACTGCTGTTAATGAACTATACTGGAAATCTCACAGGCCAGTTGGGTAATACGTAAAATGTACGAAAACAGCTACGTGAACAACGCTGACCGGGGATAAAACGGAAACAATAATACAAAAGGACAAAACAGCCCGTCCATGCATGCTCTGCTGCATTCAAAACAAGGCCAGATTGTAGATATGTCGCGCACAGGCCAAGGACAATGCTGCGCGCACTGTACGTCTGCAAGAAATGTCCGCCACAAACACAAAACTGAAAGGCGTATGGGCATGACCACAGACGTGGGTGGAACTTTCCATGGCTTTAGGGAGCCAAGTATGTTTTCCGCTAATATCTTATGATTTGTGCATAGAGCTTGCGGGTACCCCTAAGTAAACAAAACAATGTGCCGCTCTGCCCCTCCAGCCGAGCGACTCAAAGGCTCTCTTCTCTGGACACTGCCGAGCCTAACCATGTTGAGCAAGCTTCTCAATTACCTGAATCTTTGCTTAGCCGTGTAGCACGATTTAACACAAAGGCGTGGTTCAGCGCTTGCGAGGTTCCTCAAAGCTGAACACATATTTCCCCGGGTGTGCAGAACACTCCGAGATTTCGGCAGCCGTTCAAGGTGACCGCACAGCGTGCTCGCAACAATCAGCCGTCTGCCCCACGGTGTGCACCGCTGCTCCCAATGAGACGAGCGGAGGCGGCCATGTTCCCGTCTGTGTTGTTTCACGGTCGAGCTCGGCTCGGCGACCAATCAGCGGATGCGCTCGAAGACACCTGAGCTCAGGGGTCGCTGCACCCCTGGCGGGACGCGAGCGCTCGCCGGAACGGGAGCGCTGCGACTGACGTCATCAGACCCGCTCGTGGCTCGGGCCTGGCGATGTTGCGCAACGGGCTGGGTGCGTCAGCATATCGCCGCGCATGCACGGAAGCACGAGTGGTGCAGCTCCAGCTGTGGCTTTTGTCTGTTTTGCTGTTGAGATTTAACACCGGAGGTCATCGGACGCAGTCTCCTCAAATGAGAGCGGCACGCCGTCGTGGCGAGATGGCCGACACGCCCATTAGAGATGTAGCGTGCAATCATTGACCCACTGGTACAGACTCTTCAGCCTGGAGGTGCCTCAGCCATCCCGGGATGGTGAATGAGGAGCCAGACGGCAATCCGTAATATATCGCAGACGATCATACCGCCGAACTAACAACTTAATGTCTGATGCTGTTCGATTAACAAACATTGCTTGTCGGTTAACAAACATTCAACGTCTGACTCGCCGTACGCCTGACTGGTGTATGTGCAAGCAGACACTGGTGAGCAGCAGACAGGCAGACAGACAGACAGACAAACAGACAGACAGACAGAGACAGACAGACAGACAGAGAAAGGCAGACAGACAGACAGACGGACGGACAGGCAGACACACAATCAGACATTTAAAAGGATGTATATTACTCAATTTTCAATGAATAATTTGTCCCACGCCTTCCCATCATATTTGATAATCTTAGTTTGCATTATGCCAAATAAAGACATCAATGTTTCAGGGCAAATGAAACAAAGCCTAGCTAAGATGACTTACCAGGTATGCGGCTATTTAGATAGTTTGCCATGACAAGATGTGCCGTGCAAAAGTAGGTTGTCGCCCCTATATTGCAATTAGCTGCCGTGTCATTTTAATGAGAATCTAAACATATCCAGACGAGGATGACTTTTGTGGTGAAGCGGAGAGGCGTTAAATTTCTCACACAGAATGCACACATCATTGGTATAGGTACTGAATTCTCCCTTCGACTTCTCCCGTTGGTTCAGCATTTTCAACTGGACAGAAAAAACTACACCTGTTACCATTGTTGCTTGTTACATTATTAACCCGAATACAAATTGCAATAACTACCGGAAAGACAAAATCTATCAACGAACCGGACGGCGCTCTTCTGACTCTGGATCTTCTGAGAACCGCCTTCACTATGGGTACAGTTCGATCCATTGTTACGACACAAACATCTTAACCCTCTCTGACATCATGAAAGGTCACAGCCGAAGGAAACAGCCGTGAGCAGCGTAGGGGATTGAAAAGCTTAACAGATCCGAAAATTATAATAGACGCATTGGTGCCGTTCTGACGATCAAAAGGGAGGCTGAAAGTCATTAAAAATCCTGCGTATGATTATAGTGTGTCGCTCTCTGATTTTACGCGACAAGGAAATCAGGAAGCTTTGTGAGAACTAGCTCATGGGACAACTGGCCCCACCATCCTCTAAAACATCTGCAGAACACCAGATGGCTCAAGACTGAGACAGACGAAAAGGCGACAGTCAAGACTGAAAGACGGCGATAAATGGACACGGTTACGAATGAATTCGGACCCACCAACGGCATCCACAGAGACAGAGTCGTCGAATCGTCACATGACCACAGGCGGGCGTGTCCCACCTTCGTTGCCGGGCCTTCGTCGCCGGTCACTTGGTCCGGCCCAGTCCGCAGGTCCGTAGATCCGGTCATGACGTCATATCCGGATCCGGCCGACGCGGACAGCCCTTGCGAACGGAAGCGAGCCATCAGACGGGTCGGCACCCGGCCCTGGCGCCACTTCCACCCGGTCACGTGTTCCCTCGCACGAGGGACGACGTTGATCACGTGATTAAATACAGGGGAGGCGGGTGGGGGGGGGGGGGGGGGGGACGGCTGGTGCGAAGCGGCGCGCTGGCTCGTGGGATGATGGTGTTTTCGTCGGGCGTTGCGCTCCAGTGCCGAGGTAGTTACGTGTTCGTAGCCTGAGACGAATATCCTGTCTTACGCAATGTAAATCGTCGATAGTCAAAGCCGGTCGGTTTAAAAGCCGGCAACAGCGCATGAATCACGGGGAAAGGCGCGTTCTGGCTATCGTCTGCATCTTTGTTTGTTTCACTTTCTTGAAGCTCAATTGGATACATCCGGACGTAAAGCGCTAGAATGGTCTCAAATTTCAGCGGATGGCGTGCCACGAGGACGGCGGAATAATAAGAAGGCGCGTGGCGTGCAACCTAGAAGGAAACTGCTGATCACGGGCGGCTAAACTACTGCAGCCGCTGCACGTGTCGGAGCTCACACCGCCATACCGGGCTCGGCTACTGCGCCAACAGCAGCGCTTTTCACGGACCGTACCTCGCTCCTACGAACCCACCCCGCAACATAGGCTTACGTGGTATGAAGTATTGGAAAAGTAAATCATCATTATTTGTTTTTGTCGAGAAATTTCATCCCCAAATTTCGTATCCCAACCAACTTATGTAAGTCGCAGCGAGTTTGTCTGCAGATACCTCTCCAGGGTGTTATGCAATCGCGCCCAAATTTTCAGTAGCCTACGCGACATCCGTTGTGAGTGTTTCGACAACAGCAACGTGTCCTTAACTTTTCTACGAACGGAGAAGCTGTCGTTTTTTAGCAACACTGCACGGCGATCTACGACCTGCGGGGGTGGTGGGTAGCCACCGACGATGCTGCGGAACGCGCGCGGTGGGCCGATATTGTCATATTATTGGAGCCGTAACTCATGAAAGTACGGCCAAACACATAAAATCTAGCCACTTGTTCTTAGAACTGTACAAGGCACAAACCTGCTTAGATTTCGTACCGCTACGAAGCATGGTCACGTATATTTGAGCGAATAAATCTGAAATAGATTTTCATGAAAATTGTATATTTGGCCTGGCATAACAGGGTCGAGTATTGACTTAGAAGCATAAAACTTTTACCAAGCCAGAGATCTGCTTAGAACAACCCACAGAAGCTCGATCTTTTTTGTTTTGCAAACAGCGGTGGGGTCGCGTCGAGCATGTTATCATAATTTGGGACAGGCTCCTGCTAATCGTAATCCTATTCAATGTATTTCAACATGCGTGCATGATAGATTCATTGACTCCAATTTTTTTTATAAAAGGAGTGCGTTTACACCTTACCTTCTAATCGTGTGACTGGTGCGAGAGTGAATAATCTGTAACAAGTGCTTTTTGCTGGGCACTGTATTTTTTCCGTGTGTGTAAGAATGGAGAGCAGTGGATAACTGTCTCCCCATGCTTCGTGTAGCCGTAACATAAAATGTTTAGAGGTGAATGGAACGTATAAGCTTTAAAGGTAGTTTGTCCTTCCACGCTTTTGAGACATCATCACGCCCAACGCCTTTTAACAGAATCGAAGGCGTCGGCGTCTCTACCAACCGTACTGCTGTGACCGACTGTCGTTTCGCCAAGGCATTCAACCAGATGCCTGATGCACGAAGAGCTCGCACTTGGTCTCCTTTCCTTTCATTCACGGGCTTTATTTTGCGTGTGTTTTGGATGAGTGGGCTTTGGTCATCCGTGATCCTGTTGGATATAGGCTGTAGCACTGATCGTAGTACGGAAACAAAGAAAAAGTACCGCGTACGTAAAAAGCTGATCAGAAATAGTCAAGCTTTCAGGAAAACGGGCAAAAGACCGGAGGTCATGACCAAACGCGGCTTAGAACATACTGACAAGGACAGTCATCCGCTTCTGCCAGTAGCATTACACGTTATGGACTTTGATATTTTTGGCAAGTCAGGCGGTATCCCGCACATGAAAAATGATATTGGAGTTGAAAGGCTCACGGAAAATTTACGTCACTCATTTACACAGATTTTGCGCTTCACCCCATGAAAGCTATATTCTGCTTGCACATTACACAGACGTTACACAAAAACCCGAAAAGCCCGAGTCTCATCCCACCTTGATGCAGGTGAAGCTCCTCTCGTCGCGTCGCTGCTCGACCCCGTCACCGCCCGAGGCGTCTCCGCGGTCGAGCTGAGCACACTTCCACGACCGAGCCGCCGCGCTTCGCACCCGCACACAGGCCACTGCAGGGCTCGGGGAGCGCCCGACGCACACGAGCTGTCAGTGGTCGTGATCTGGCGCACTGATGGCCGTGTCTGACAAGAGGGCAGCTGTGCTGGACCCTTTCCCGGGTCTCTGACGCACACACTGTCTTCGCCGCCGCTGTCTACGACCGCAACTGAAGCTCGGTCTGCTTCCTGATGTGGTCCGCCCCTGGTCTTCACGTGGTCCTGATCCTCGCCGGGACACCACCGAACCGCCAGTCCATCCGCCGTTCACACCCAGGCCCAACGCGAGCTCACTCCGCCCCGTTCCCGCGCCGGTCCGGGTCTGGTCCCGCTCCGGTCCGGACCACTACCCGCGGCGGACTGCGGCGGACCACCGCGAGCCGCCGGCGCCCGGAGCCGGCCGGCCTCCGGTCACGCTCCAGCCCTGGCGCCAGGGCCGACCGGGACCCTCGCGATCGCCGCGCGCCGCCGGAGCCGCGGCGGCGTCACACAAGGAGGGGCTCCGCTCGGGGGCGTCAGGGACGCCAGGGACGCCGTCGAGGGACGAGCGAATGGCTTACCAGCCGGCCTTGGGCCCGCTCCGCCGCGTTTGAGCGCGCCGCACGTGGCGCGTGGCGCAGTTGCTCAATGTGTCATAGCACGCCGATGCGGTGGTTGCGTCCAGCGGGGTTAGCTCAGGCCGCTCGTTCCCCTCTGCCCCCTTCAGCGCGAGCTCGGGGCATGCCGCACGGCTCGGGAATGACGAAACTGGTAGCCTTTCCCTCGTAACTGCCAAGATACCAGGGCAGAGAGTGGTGACTGACGTGTTCCGCATGTGACTAGCAGCTGCGGTGCACTTTGTTGCTGGTATGGAGTAACTTACCCGCGCTGCGATAAGAATAAAAATTATGTTTGTTTTGTAACCTGGGGGAGGGGGCAACGAGTTAACACAGGTCCACCTCACTTTGGAAGCCTCACATAAAAAATATCACCGGAAATGGCGGCCAATTTGTTAGAAAAACCATCTTCTCCTTTGTTATATTTTCACCTTCACCTTTTTTGACTGGAGCAATAGTTTTTTCTAAGCCGATAGAATTCAGAAGCCTCGCCAGAATTTTGGTCCGGATGCTACACAGGCGCCAAGGGTGCCACAAAGGTCGATTGTGGATGGCAATGAGTCAAAAATTTGTGTTAACATCGCTAAGCCACGTTTGTCTAGAAATGTTCAGCATTCAGCCAGAAACGATTAGTGATGACAATTATGAAGCGTAGCTTTGAGCATGTATTCTCGAAAACCTTGCAACAAAAACATGAACGCCGGACGTTGTAGTATCAATAGGCTGCGCAGCATCGGCACTGCGGTTTGTACTAAGCCATGGCCAATGGACGGCCGACAATGATGACGCATCTGAAACAAACAACGTTAAACGCTTTTGGACATCAAATCCTACGTTTAGAAGGAAGTCCGGGCATGTCATTCATCTGTACGATTTGTTTATTGATGGTAATAGCGCATTGGCCTTTACAGCACCGCGAAGTGGTGATAGAATCTAGTGGTGGAACTGGAAGAGTAAAAGTCAAATATCTATTTTTCGTGATGTTATAACTAAGAATCTGTCCAGAGGGCAGCCTTGAATTTGCGAAAAGTACGCAAAATACGAAAAATACTGTAATCTTTGAAAAGTTCGAATCAACTTTGAAAGACATTGGGAGGATGTATTTATCACGACGGTCATTCTCGCGCGCACGGCGCCCGTCGCCTTGCAGCGGCCAACTCCGGCTATCGCTGTCCATGCCCCCGATATTGCGGGCGCGCAGGCTCAAGCATTTTGATGTAGTTTGTTCCAATTGTTGATTCTGCAAAGCACTGAACGTTCTCAGGTCAACACGGGATGGTCTTGTTCGTCGTTTGAATCACTTCGACCCACTCTGTTCAACACTTGCGAGGACCCTTACGTTTTCGGACAGCGGTTTCCTTGAGTAGAACACTTGGGGGTACATTTCAATTCCCGGTGAAGGGCTGAAGGGCCATTCAGTCCCACCGCGGGATATATGCCGGCTGTTATTCTGGAAACTCGCGGCCGGGGTCTCCTGATCGACGCAGAGGCCCTTAGAGGAATACGTCAACTAACATTGGTCTCTTCTCTGACGCGAGAGGCCTTCTAGCCCGCGCAGTTTGCCCCGGATCGACGCAGGAACCCTTATGACGCAACAACATCTCTGATCGTCGCAGGTGATCCATTAATTGGCAAATTGACTCAAATTCAGCGTAACGGGCTCATGCTGGAGTTGGGCTGGAGGGCCCACCGTTCGATGCTGGGGCCCTGACTGACACAGAAAGCTTCCATTGTCTCAATATGAACAATCATAAGTTCTAACGTTTTTTTTTTCATTGTCAGGGAGACCCGACCAACGCAAGAGGCCCTCTGGCATCCGGGGTGTCGTTCCCGTCCCGTTCAGCAAATGTTTCCTGGCCGGCTCGAAGTCCCTTGTTGACACAGGACACCCTGTTATGCACTGTGGGCGCCTTATCGGTACAGGAGCCCCGCGCTGTTGCAGGGTCTCTAACTAATGTAAATCGCAGGCCCGGCCGTGTCCCTGCTCAGGAAATGCCCCCCCCCCCCCTCTCCCCCCTCCCCCCCCCCCCCCCCTCCCCCCCCCCCAGAGCTCAGATCGACACGGAGCCGACTGCTTGGTGTTTATGATATCTTACCAAAATAGAGGAACGCACTGTCTCAGGGGTTCCCATTCGCTGCAAGAGACCCTCTAACTAACATTTGAGCTCACAGCCTTGCTGTAGTCTAACCTACAGCCTTCGGGCACTCCAACCTTCCAAACGGGCGCTTCATCTTTGGTCTCGATGAATCATTCTGGCCCTCTTCGGTCCCCGTCAAACACCACTCCTGATCGTCCAGGGTCATTTGTCACCACAGGACCCCTGATGGATACTGTGGCCCCTGGCCGACACAAGGGGCCCCTCACTGTGTCAGGAACCTCAAATATTGCGAATCGCAGGTCCCAGCCTCGTTCTCGCTTGGAAAATGGGTCCCAGGGGATCGGACGGACACGGAGCCGACTGCTTAGTTTCGTGTCGAAGCCCTATAATGTTGAGGTAAAGAGCCCTAATAAGAGGGCCCCAACAGAAGCCCCCTAACCAACAGCTCAGATCATGGCACTACGGGTAGGAAGGGGTGATCTTTGGTCCCGAGGGCTCTTTGGGCACGTCTTCGGATCACGCAAACCCGGCTCCTGGAACTCGGGCCACTTCCTTGCGCATGATCCCCTATGAGGCACACTGTGGGCCCCAGGCCGACACCCTGGTGGCTTCAGAAACACCAATATATGCCAATCGCTGGCCAGACCTTGCTCATACTTGGGAAGTGGACTCGCAGGGCTCAGACCGACACGTAACCGACTGTTCGGTGCTGGTGGTGTCTAGCCTAAATAGAGGCCCGGACTGTCCCAGGGGCTCTTGACCGATGAAGAGGTCCTCTGACTGATGTTTGCGGTCGCGCCCTTGGGGGCTGGGGGCGTTCTTAATGTGACCTAGGGCCAGATCTTCGGACCTATCAGCATTCCAATCGGGCCCTTTATCTTTCGTCCCTTTGGCGCCTCTTCAGATCTCCTCAAATAAATCCCGCGACCGACTTGAGGCCACTAGCCTACATATAAACCCGTGTTAAGCACTGTGAACCCCTGACCGACACAACGGCCCCAATCATTGCTTCAGGGGCACATACCAATGCACATCAAGGCCCCTGGTCTTGCTCCTGCTTGGGAAATGGAAAGACGCTACGGGCCGCGATTCTTTACGTGACCTATGGCCAGCCCTTCGGGCCCTTATGGCCTTCATCTAGGCCCTTGATCGTTTGCTTCGGTGGGTCACTGGGGCCCCTCTTCGGGCGTCATCAAACACGGCCTTTGGTCGGCTCGAAGCCCCTTGCGAACACCCGGCCCCCTTAAAGGCACTGCGGCCGCCTGACACATACAGTCCCGATCAGTGCAATTCACTGGTCCCGGCTTTGTAGCTCCTTTGGATGTGGGCGCTCAGGTTTGCACCGATGCGGAGCCGACCGTGCAGTACTGGTGGGGCATGACCGACACTTAGGCCCGTATTGACTCAGGGGTTGTCGAGCTGCGCAAATGGCCCTATGACTGTCATTTGACAGTCCGTCACACAGGCCGGGGCCCCTGAATAAGACTTTGACCAGTACTTTATGTTTTTAGGCGCTTCAATCGGGCCCTTGATCATCGGTTCTGATCGGCACTCCAGGCTCTTCGGGCCTCCTCGAACACTGCCTCTGGCCGACTCGGCGCCCTTTGCCAACCCGGTGCCTCCTGCTAGGGGCTAGGCGCTGAGGGCCCTGACAGACGCTGGGGTCCCGACCAATTGAAAATCGTTGGCTCCGGCTTTGCCCCTGCTTGGAAAATGGGTCCTCAGGTCCATGCTGATACAAAGCCGACTGGCCGTTGCTGGTGGTGTCTGACCAACATGTAGGCCCTTATCGACTCAGGGGGCCCATGATCAGAGCCCAGAGCCCACTGGCTTGGAGTGCCCGGTCCTGCGGGCTGGAACCCCTGAATACGACCTCCGGCCGGCCTTTCGGACCCTTCGGGCCTTCAACTTGCGCCCTTAATCGTGGGTCCCGTGGAACCTAAGGGAGGAGAGAGATGCCCAAGCCCTCCCCTGCCTGCGCGAGTTTTAACCTACAAGGCTGACAAAAGAGCCGACATCGTACCGCTTACCATAATGAGGTCAAACAAAGCAACGGCCACATGACTGCAAACTTGACTGTTCACGACACGGACGCTCTGTGTGGCGCGCAACAATGGCAGTGCCAGATCAACTTATGCGGCTCTGTGTGAACACTCCTCAAAGGCTAAAATACACGGTGTGCATCCGTAGTCACTGTTTTAGAGCATTTAACGTTCACTGGGTAAATGATTCACTTCAGGGCTTCGTAGAAAAATTTTCATGTTCGTCTATATTTCTGTTTAGTTTCACGTGACGTACGTCAGACGCATAAAGCATTTTTGCACTGGACAGGGGAGCGACTTCCCTCCGCATCCGCATGAGCCAGGATCAGCAGGTACGCGATGGGACGGGGAAGCACTGCTCAAAAGTCATAGTGTTGGAAGTTCGCTGCCAGCTGTGTTTCGGCTTTTCTGATGAAGGCGTTGCGGGATACTTGGACTAATCAATAAATGTTCATGTTGCTATTTACGAACACCTGCGGACAAAGCAGAATGATAACTAGAGAGAGCCTTCGAACCGCGCTGATCAGGTCATAACGTTGTCTTGCAAAAGCTCAAAAGTGGGGCTTGAGTTTCATCCCTCAATGAAGCCCATCTTCTTTTATAGAAAGCAAGTT